CTTGGGGCTGGGCAGGATTGTCCCTGCATGGGGATAGCCCTTCATAGTGACCTTCCCAAACCACACGCCCTGTGCTGGTTTATTTCCCACACTGCTTGGCTTAAAAATTGGGGAAAACCTTCCAAGGTTAAAAAAATAAAGGGGAAGCAACAGAAAGAAGAGAAGTGGATTAGAGTTCAGAGGTGGGGGACAGAAGGAAGGGATGATCTGGAGTTCAGAGCTGAAGGACAGAAGGAAGGAAGGGATGATCTGGAGTTCAGGGCTGAAGGACAGAAGGAAGGAAGGGATGATCTGGAGTTCAGAGGTGAGGGACAGAAAGGTGATCTGGAGTTCAGAGGTGAGGGACAAAAGGAAGGAAGGGGTGATCTGGAGTTCAGGGCTGGGCCCTGCTGATGGTCCTGTGGCTGTGACAGCCATTTCTTTGTCCTAGGCTCAGTTAGAGCTGGGGGTTCTGGGTGCTCATTGCAGGCCCCTGTCCTTGTGCCTCTTCTGGAGGTCACCCCAAATGTTCCCAGCCCTGGCAGTTCCCGTTTTGGCGGCGCCGGGGGCTGACAGATGTGCCACGTGGGTGGCTCTCCTGCAGGAGTGCTGGACCAGCGGGAAGCTCTGACCACCCTGGGCAAGCGCCTGGCCCAGATCTCCACGGACCCTCGGCTGGCCAAGGCCATCGTCCTGGCCTCCATCTACCGCTGCCTGCACCCGCTGCTGGTCATCGTCTCGTGCCTGACGCGGGACCCCTTCAGCAGCAGCCTGCAGAACCGCGCCGAGGTGGACAAGGTGAGGAGCCCCCGGCACGGCTGGGGACAGGGCTGGGGGCTGCCCGTGGCTCACCCGTGTCCCTGTCCCAGGCCAAGGCCGTGCTGAGCCGGGAGAGCGGCAGTGACCACCTGGCCTTCGTGCGGGCGGTGGCGGGCTGGGAGGAGGTGCTGCGGCGCAGGGACAGCCGTGCCAGGGACAACTACCTGCAGGACTACTACCTGTACGGGCCCAGCCTGCGCTTCATCAACGGTGAGTTCTGGCCACCCTGCCCCTCCCCTGGCCCAGGCTGCACAGGGAGAAACACGGGGCACAGACGGGCTGTGCTGGGGCAGGACTGTGGGACCGGGCAGGGTCTGGCTTTGGCCCAGCACAGGGCTCCTGTCCCAGCCCAGGCTGGCGCTGCCCTGCTGAGGTGACTCATTCCATGGGGGAAGGAGAGGGTGGATCTCACCCCTGGGGCTCTCTCCTCCCTCCAGGCCTTGTGAAGCAGTTCTCTGAGAACCTCTACGAAGCCTTCCTGGTGTCATCCCCGTCCGACTGTACCATGCCCTCGTCCGTGTGTAACCAGTACAGCGAGGAGGAGGAACTGGTGAAGGGCGTCCTCATGGCTGGGCTCTACCCCAACCTCATCCAGGTACGGCAGTGCCATCGCTCTCTGGGGATGGCTGTCACAGCAGGTGGCACCGGGAAGTGCTGAGGTGCCAGAGAAGCTTCTGCTCTCTTGGGTGTGAGTGTCCTGCCCTGGGCTCTGGCCTGTGCTCCTGGGCTGTCCCTGATCACCACTCGTGAGGAGTGGCCACCCCAACTTGTGTGGGTCAGTGCTTGGGTTCTCATCACTCGCTTTGGGAGCCATTGAAG